ATTGGTCGAGTTGAGTGGTTTGGATTGGATTTTGCCTAGTTTGAGTGAAAACTCGTGAAACTCGGCACTTAACTTGTGGATAATAACATCATTCCATTGTGATTGAGATTGGGATGATTGAATTGCAAAAAAATATAAATTTTGGAGTTTGGAAAATAAGGTACCCGACCCGAAATTCATATTAAAGAATGCTGCAGATTCTTTCATTCTCAAATGACAAGGACATTATTATTATTAACCTTGAGAAGCATAATGTTGTCTACAGTTTCTGTTGAAAGTTCACTGATTGGACGAAGTAATCAAATTCTATTCCATTCCCTCTGTTCACATTTGGTTCATTCATTAGACAGAATGGAAATACGATAAAAAACTGAACATTAAATATGGAATGAAAAATTAAATCAAATATACTGATCATCATTAAATCAAACCTAAATACTGATTTTGGCTTGATCTTTATTCAACACCAATCCAGAATTCAGCAATGCAATGCTCGAAATGTTATATAAACCATGATTACATAAAAAGAAAATGTGTGAAAAGGAAAATTAAAACCTCAATTTCATCTATGTCGGATTGATTGACAATGAATCTAGTAAAAATTTGAACTGATATACAGTTAAAAAAATTGTGGGGATTAACATTACAAAGGCGTCACCGAGTAGGAAACGGCTCGAGGACTGAATGACAGAATTGCACAGTTGTAGGGAGGTGAAACAATGAAAGCTGTCGTTTTAGCTCTTCTGCCACTCGGAGAGAATGCGTAGAAAGTATTGTGAATAGAAAAGTGTTAGATGTATAGCAAGTCATACGTCAACTTATACAGCCCTTTCAGATGTAGAGGGTGGGGGCTGTGGGGCCGTGATTAAAATAATCTCAGGTCCCACACATGTGAGAGCAGCGGCGTATCTAGGTGGCCGCCCTAGTTGGATTCGTCGGAACTATAGGAGAAATTTTTTTTTTTTTGACAATAGATTAAGGTTTTACGTTATATTACTTGTTACTCATCTCATTTTCAGGTTAGAGTTTGCATATGCATATTTGAAGTTTCAGGTTTGAATCACTTACTAATGAGTATTTGCTGTCTTTTATTTTTATTCTACAATTTTTATCAAAATTCAATAGAGAGGGAAACAAAGGGGATTCAAACTTGTGACCGCTTGCAAGGGTTGCTATAAATTTAAACATCACTTCTTGAGTTGTGTCACTAAGTTTAACAAAATAATATTTCTTAGGCTTTAATTGTTTTAATGCAAAAACAATTGAAGATTTGAATCCGTGCTCTTCCTTTGAATTATACAAAATATGGCAACAATGTCATTTGATGAGTCCTATTTATTCTTATAACATAATAATGTACGTTCAATTTGAGCAAAATAATTGTTTTATTTAAACTTTAGGCCTTGTTCATTTCCTTTTTTTTTTTTTTTTCAAATTACATTTTCTTCTCTTGTTTTCATCCACACATTCTTCAATAAAATAATATTACACGCAAATTCTATACTTTTCTTTATTTTTAGCCAAGCATTCTCCATCAAATCATTATTACAAAATGTATTTTTTGCAAAAAATGGTATTAAACAGACTCTTAATATTTTATTTCTGTCAACGATAAATGGTCGACGGTCGTCTGTGCTAACTCAAACTCCTGGATTCGCCCATGTGAGAGGGCTGTACTTTTTACAACACTCAAATTCTGTACAACTATCTTTTTCCTTGTTAATGCTAGCCATAAAAAACTTTAAATAACTAATTGATTCGACCTAAAGTTCATAATTATTTATATAATGGTTTACATACATGGGATGTGGCTATATATAATTGGATAAGAATTTTTTCGACAAAAAACAAAAAACTTCTTCACTCTTATTTTGACACTTCATCTATATACAAACCCTTATATAACTCCACTATATACAAATAGCATTATTCATGTTAAATGGGGTGCCGGTCAAATTGGGGTGTCACTCATAAAAGTTCTCATGCTTAACCTAGTTTATGATAAGAATAATGTTATTTGTAGTTGTTCACTACAATTAATCGCCCTATGTGACATATACATGACAGATATTTGATTCATCATATGACATGTGGTTTACGGATATCAATACTCTTATGGTAATAGTTAAAATAGGTTGATTTTCTTGATTAAGTACGACTAAAAAATTGGATAAGCTCTCTTTCGAGATGCATAGTTAAGTCACTTAAATCAAACTTTTTCTTGTCGGTTCAAAGAAGTTGACTTGGTGGGCCAACCGAGCTTACTCGCTAAACATATTTAGCCTATTTGGTAGGATTAAAATCGAATTTTTAATAGATTCTGATAAAAATTGATGAAATGTATAGTTAAAAAATTGCAAGTCTTATAAAATGTATTGTTAAAATTAGTTACTAACTTTAATTTAGATTAAAATTCGAATTTTAATTTTTACCAAATAGGGACAAAGCAATCATAGGTGCCATCTAATTTCAATTTAAGCAGGCCAACGGTTGGGGTGCCTAATTTAAAATTTGAAATTCAATTGTTATTTTCCCCTTTTTTGTTAACATTTTTGTCTATAGACGTGTCTAAAGCAATTTCTTTTACAAGCTTGACAACTTTTTTTGATTTTGCAAAATTGTAAGTTTTAAATTCATTAAATAATGTTTGCTTTTATTTTAAAAATATTGTACATGAAATATTAAATAGTGTATAACTTTTAAAGTCTACCTACATATCATGTAACCAATCACAAGTTCGAAAAAAGAATTAAGACTTTGTAACTTAAAATCTCTTTTATTAGACACATATACAAAATTAATTTTTTTTTTCAAGTTTACCATTTTCTAATTTTTTAACTTCTTTGCCAACGTGAAACAAAAAGAAAATTGAAAAAAAAAAAAAAAAAAAAAAAAAAAA